CAAAGGAGAAAGAATTGAAGTGTAATTTGATGAAAAAAATAACCCTCTTAGAAAAGCGGGGAATGAGCTACAAAGTTACTTCGGTATTTTGGCACGTGAGCACGTGTCAATAACAATAGAAGATTACAAACTACCCTTGGATGTTTGTGGAGTATAGACTTTGTAATGATCGACACACCGTTTCTGAAGAAGCCTCTAAGAGAAAAGATCATACAAGTACCCACATGAGAATACTCGTGGGGGATATAGGAAAGCAGAGGAAGATTTTGTAGGTCTTCAATTACTTTTTTCAATGATATTAATTACTTTTTGTTTGTGTTACAATATTTAATATACCTTTTAATTGAATGCGGATGTGAATGCATAACACTACGGAGAAGCCGGATTAAGACACTTTATGGCAATTCAAACGCAAAAAACGTACAGAACTTACAAAATTCTGGAATGCGAAAAGATCGGTAAATTAATTGTGAGTTATTGCTTTTCTTTTTACTATTTGTTCGACCAATGGGAAATATGCCAAGAAATTTATAGTATTTTGGTTTTAAATTTTGTAGGACCAATATGCCGAAGAAGAGTCTCAGGGAAAGTTTCAATCTCAGGGGACTGATGATGTGCTTACTAGATCATTGAGAAACCTAGAACACTTTGGCCATGTTCGTGGGCAATCCCAATTTGTCAAAAAGTCAACTTATTTTCATTCCACTGGCAAATTAATAAGGGATGAGGAGTTGACGATGCTGCGTAAAAGGGTGGAAATAATGTAGGCTTAATGGCAAGTAATGCAATCATCCCAAGGCCATACGCCAGCACCTGTAGGAGAGGGAATGGGAACTCCTAAGGTAGATCAACGACGTAGTGTTAAAGAAAACTGTAATGTCCATAATGCTACGCCACCAGCAGAGTCCCCCTCATTAGGCCTTGGTGTGGATGGATGTGCATTCTTCTGGCTCCAACAGAAGGGAAGAACAATTTCATCGTTGTTGCGACGGGGATGGTGTGGATGGATAGTCACCCCACCGATGTTGTCCACTGTGTCGCACTTAGGGAGAGAAATGTACGCGTCTCTATTCAATCGACTTATGTGAGAGACGAGCCTCTGCATATCCCTACATTTGATAGCACGACTATAGGTAACGCTCTTAGAGGATTTGTTGCCTAGCCCAAAAATTTGGTTGAACTAAGGTCGTTGAGTAAAGTTAGCAAAGCTCCGACCAGCAAAAAAACCCATGGAGCAGGCGAAGAAAAAATTTGGGAAACAAAAAAAAAGATGAAAAATACATAAGGATTCACCGGTGATGGGGAAGTAACACAACCGCTTCCGGACCAGTAACAAGGGAGACTTACTGATTCATGTGCGACAAACGATAGACATCAGTCGTACAATTCAGATTCTCCTTCCATTCGATAGGACTTAGGTGCAAAATATGCAGATCTTCATTACAGCCGATGATATCGAATAGATGGCCACATATCGAAAATTTAGTCTTATGTGTATCATAGCTTACATGTGGTAATATAACTATCCTTATTACTTTTTCACAATAAATTATTATTTATTATTAAATGTATAACTAACTTCTTCATTTTTCGTGTAGTCACTTGTGGCATGTGTACAATCAGGAGAATGTCCTAGGACATTGAGGTTTCATGTCCTTGATGCTCACGTCCTACGTTCCATGCCAAGCGGAGCTGGATATATAGCAGCGGACAAACACCATTTGTACATTTTTGTTACAATCGGATACGCGACGCACTTTCTTCGTGCCATAAAATGGATGAGGACATTAAATATTGGCCGTGATATCTCCCACACAAGATAAGGTCGTGTGGTTAGATTTCCTAGCGGTGAAAGTACGCATAGACTGCAGAAGAATGGTTGCCCAGTAAGTTTAGCAATCTTTATAACTTCTAAACTACTAATTTATATTATTTATTTGACTAATTAATTGATTTTTCATCATTTATTCGTACATTATGCGGTTAGAAGGTGCAAACAAGGCTTAAGTTTGAACGTCATGCGGATGGGTTAACGTAATTTTCCATACCATAGGTAAGTGTTCATAATTTCGTTCATTGAATTACATATTATTTTTCATGTACTAAATTTTTTATTCATTATCAATAAATTTTGACATAAGAGGGGCACAAAGAATGTCGGTTCTTCATCTTACGGTATATGCACGATATAATGAGAGTCGGTGTTAATGATCTAAAAACATATAGGCATATAATAATGAGCATTTGATAGAAGTTATAAATGAATTGGCACATTTTATAAAGGGACATATATTGTAAAAGTACATATAACATATTATAAAGGGACATATAATTTAATTTATGTATACATTTTGATTTAAATATATGTATTATTAATTTGTTTATGTCCTGGGAGTTGTGACTTGTGTTAATTGTGTGGCCAAAATGCTAATGAGTCACATTATTAATATGCCAACCAGTAGGAAGAGCAATAAAATAACACCGAATTTTTTCGGTGCATAAGGCAGATATAACGACAGTTTTTAACTTAAATCATCGTTTATTTGTTAGTTAAAAACCGTCATTATATATTTGTTTTTAACGATGATTTCTGGAGAAATCGTCGTTTATTGTGCTTCCTAACTGTCAAATTTGACATTTTGAGAATATCTTAGATGATGTCTTATTTAACGACGGATAAAAACTGTCATTAAATCATACAACAATTTAACAACTCTCGATTAGACGATGGTTCTCCTAACCATCGTCTAATCTTTTAACGACGGTTATTAACGGTTGTTAAATCCCATATTTTTACTAGTGTAGGCTACTACTTAGGTCGCGTTTATCAAACTGTAAAGGAATGTAATGAGAAACGTAATAGGATTAGAAAGTAAAGTGAAGTAATAGGATTAATAGTCATTCATTCAAGTGTTTAGTTGACTATTAGATGGTATAATGAGAATCAATCTCATTCCCTTTCTTATGTTTACCAAAATTAGAAATAACAAGGTTATGAATGTAATCACTAAAATGCCCTTTTACACATTTGATAATCATTGACTATATAATAATTCATTAAAGGTAGAAAAATAAATTTAGCATTTATACTCTTTGACAAGGAATCAATACCAAAGGGGGTGCAAGGATTGGCATTCCCTTTCCTCATTCCCTATATTGTGTGGAGCTCTCTAAATCTTCATCACTAATTTTTTACACATTATTAAATGGGAAAGGAAATCACTCCTCACTTTTTCTTTCTCTTTGATGCAAATTAAACATGCCCTTTATGTACATTACCGAAGGATTTTAGTTTCACAACATCTTTTAAGAACATGCATGAAAATTCAAAACATGACTGAAATAATAATAATTAAATAAGAAAATAAAGACAATAAGAGAAGGCAAAGTGATTTAACGTAGTTCGGCAATATGCTAACATTCACAGACTAGGAAGAAAATGAGAATTCACTAATAAGGAACATTATAGAATGGGCTCCATATAAATACACATTCTAAAACACATAATCAGGTAGTTGTCCAAAACAAAATCAGGAAACTTCGTAATGTATATAACATAGATACAAATGAGGCCAAAACTATCAATAAATGTACTTTTCCTACTATGCCCCCATAAGATGGAGCTCCAATCTTGTAAGGCTTTTTTTTCCTTCATTTTTTGTTGTTTTTTTTTTCCCTTTTCTAACAAAATAAAGACATAGAAATAGTAGCATAGTGATGACAATCTTCGAGAAGGAAAAAGAAGAGGATGCTTCTGCGCAAAGGCGACAACCATCAAGAGAAAGAAAAGGGCAGTTGGCCGATGGGACGTCAATATTAAAAAGAGATAAGAAACGTTAACCATGGAGGATCAGGGACTCGTTAAGATATGAAGCTCTGATACAATAATAGTCATAATTAAATGATAAAATAAAAGTAATAAGAGAAGACAAAGAAATTTAACGTAGTTTGGCAATATACCTACATTCACAAACTCGGGAGAATTTACTAATAAGGAACATTATAAAATGGGCTCCGTATAAATACATATTGTAAAATACATAATCAGGTAAGTACCCAAAACTAAAATGAAGAAACTTACTAATTGAAAATAAATACAAATGAAATCAAAACTATATATTAATAAAGTTACTTTCTTCAGGATACTTTCCCTAATAGATCATTCCACATTAAAGGAATTTCAATTACCACAAAAAATATGAACATTGCAATATTGATTTTATAATTAGCATTACTTGATCACACTCATACGAAATACTTTATATTTGAGTTTTTAGGAAATTATGAAAAATCATAGAAAGCTAGGTTTAGTTGCTAGTTAAGAGATGAAAGATCGTACATGCTTTGGTCACCGATTCTAAAATTAGGGTAAGAATCATAGAGTACTACATTAATGGGAGAAAAACAGAAAAAATTACTTGCATGAAAACCCTCCAGAATTTTTATTCCATGTTCCTGAATATTGGTAGAATTAATAATCACAGATATTAGCTAGAATTTATATTGATCTAGAAGAAAAATAACGAGCTAGAATAACATTTTACTGAAAAAAGCCTCTTGATCCGTTCTCAATTGCTAGTTACTGCAGCTATATTGTAGGTCTCCAAAGGGTTACATTAAAAACCCTAGATGTGGCTAATTTCCAATAGGTGTCGATTCACCTAAATGAGTTGAGAACTTTGAATAAAAGATACGAAAATTAAGCACCATCAATGGCTAAATCAATGAATATTACTTCAACAGTATACTACGTCAGACTAATGGTTGATCAGCCCTAAATTAATTTATAGTCAAAAAAACGTAATTACGCACATAAACACTTAAATAAAAAGCTCTAATTACCGTCCGAGGGGGTCGTGTATATCACGCACTAGTTAATTAAGCATGCGTGGAAGAATTAATGCCCGAGTAATTAGGGCTTAATTTGTTAACATAAAAACGCTCTATAAATAATGAACATCACCATGCTTTGGAAGGCAAGATAATTCAAATGTTGCAAATCGCCATCATGAGGTTCTACAACTTTGCACCCAACTTCATCTTTCGCTTTGTAGTTTCTCTCATTCTCTTGTCCTACTTCCGTTCCCAAATCACCGTTTGCTCCGCAGATGAAGAAGGTTGGTGATCTCCTTCTATACCCATAATATAAAATGCCTGATGACATGCAAGTTATTCATTTAAATGTTATCATGCACGAATTATTTAAATACATGACTGTATTTTGTTTTTATAAGGTCTGATTTTCACGCAGGTGTTACAAAGAGTGTGATAACACTTTTAGCAAGACATGCAATTAAGTATCAAATTCTGCAGTGATCAATGGACAGTGAATTGAAAACGTGCAGAAACAAAAAGTAATGCAGGAGAAATAAAGAACACCAAAAAATGATATCGTAGTTTAATATAGAGATATAGTTTTTTCAGTTTGCCTTTTGTCCATTAGTTTTTGGGTGGCATTTTTTCCTTTTTATTAAAAAATAATAATAAATACACGACTGTAACACTGTTTCACACCATCTTCTCTATTTTTAATTCATTCGTGAATCATATACATGAGACAACCATCGTCTATTATATAGTGAAATTGCACATAGCAAAATTATAAGAGTTTAGTTGAATACAACATCACTTTTTAAATTATATTCTAAGAATATTAACAAAATTACAAAGTAATTGTTATAATAATATTCACGTTTTATATTACAAAATTATGTAATAATTGCTCTAATAATTTTAATATTGGGTAGTAATAAGATATTTTAAATGTCTTGCTATATTTCAACATGTATTAATAAAATTTTGCTATATATATGTCCAACTTTTTCTTAATCTTTCATGCACTTTCTAGGTATTAAGATGATAAGTCGATTCCAGCGATTCCACATATATCCTTTTGACAATCCAATGATTGTACCAACTAAACCACTTACAATTTTTTCCTTGTTTTTTTAAAAAAAATGACATTTCGTATCCGAATGCATTGTTTCAACAATGAAATTATCTCGACCCTACGAGCCCTAATCTTACGAGTGTGCCAAACTTATAGAGTTCTTGCTTTTTCAATACATTAACTTTACAAATAATTATATTACATATTCTGCACGTAATCGATCATTAATTTTAATATATAAATAATTATTTTCCTTTCTTTAATGATCTAAATAATAGAACGTGGGCCCTATTATTAGTGGTGGTGCTTAGGACCGGGGTGTCCCTAAACGTTTTTCTTCTGGTTCTTCTCAACTGATCCTCTAGGTTTTATTTTTGATAAAAATGAACATGCAGGTTATAATGGAACAATAAGATATTCTTACAATGAATCAACTTTAAGAGGACCATCGAGATGGGGTCAACTTGACCCAAATTGGTTTCTTTGTGGTAACGGAACAAGACAATCTCCTATTAATATCAATGCCTCTACGGTACAACTTAGGCCTCAACTTGGGGGTTTACAAACGAATTACAGTCCTGCTCCTGCTACTTTGTTCAACAGGGGAAATGAAATTGAGGTCAAATTAAATAGGCTCTCTCTCTCTCTCATATATAGAGAGAGTCATTTTCAGTTTATTTTCTAAATTTTAAAAATTCTCACTTTACTCCTTGAGCTTTCTTATTTTTATTTGTTTTTTTAAGTTTTTTTCCCTCGTTTTCTTCTTTCCCTCCCTTATCTCTTTTTATTGCATGTTGTCAACCTTTAACTTGTCTATATTTTTAAGTATCTCATTTAAATATTTTTCTTACGGTTATTTAGAAAACTATATTTTCCTAATTACTTCATTGAGTCAATTTATCCTCAAACGATTCTTACGTAAACATCTTTTACATGTGATCCTCATGAATTTCGGCTTTAGTTGCGATACATTTTGCACAAGTTTTTCGTTAAGTTTTTTTTTTTTTTTTTTGTCTTTTTTCTCTCATGTCTTTTGTTTCAGATCTTTTTTCTCACTTTTTTTTATTTCTTTTTCTTCTTTTTTTTCCTTAAAGATTTGTATAAACGTTGTTTTAAATTAATCACGCGCACAGAGCACGCATTTTTGATAAATTATTATATGTCTACAGGTGAATTGGAATGGATCAGATGCAGGTAACCTTACTGTTAATGGGACTGTATATAAACTGTTAGAGTGCCATTGGCATACTCCCTCTGAGCACAGACTCAATGGACGCAGGTCATTCAATTTGCTTTAGTATATCATCCCTTTAACTTTTTGTTTTAAATTAGGTCATATGCCACAACTCTTATACGTAGTCTTCAGATTTATGCCACATCTTTTTTACATTCTGTTGATATTTTTTACTATTTATTTGTTTGGCACAAATCTGAATGTTCTAATATCCGTGTCATGATGAATCAAAAGCTATAGGAGGTATTGGCCCTGTTTGTTTCCGTTTTCATTTCTATTTTTCACATTTTTCGAGACTAAAAAATGAAAACGGAAACATAAAATGCGTTTGGTGTAAAAATTTTTAAAAAACAAAAACAAAAACGTTTTTGTCTTTTCTGAAAAACTGAAAACGAAAAAAAGTTTTCATTTTTTCGTTTTCATTTTCTGAAAATGGATTTCATTTTTTTTTTCTTCTCTCTCTTCTCCACTGCCCACCACCCCCGACTGCACCCCCCTCCCTCACTCCGACATCAACATCGACTGAAGGAGATGAAGGACGCCGGAGATGAAGGACGACAGAGAGAGATGTCGCTGGAGATTCCCTTGCTCGGTGGCTATCGTCAGTCGTCGGACGCTGCCGCCGGCACTACGCCCACGTGAACCCCGCCA